GCATAACATAGGAAGCAAGATGGCTAATAAGCCAATTTGGCCACTTTAATAGATGCATACAATGAACAAGAAGAGACAATTCAATCATTAATTGCAATTATTCATATGACAATTATCATCTGAAATTTCATTATAATGACAGCCCTAAGTGAGTTGTGAACTTCGAATAGATTTGCTTGTGTAAGAAGAAAGGTGTACTTTTTTTTAGAATTATTCCTTAAATGCCTATTAACAGACTCATATATGCTCCTCCTTTGCCTCTACACTGAAAAGTCCTGCCTCTGTTGTAAGTATTGCTGAGCTGTGTTTAGTAGTCTCTGTTGTCTTTTTCCTCTTTTTTTTCCACCTGTCTGTTTTTTGGATTTTAGTCATGGATTCACCTCTACTCTGCCTGTGTTTTCACTCTGTCTGCCTGTCTAGACTATCTTTCCTGGAAGTGCAGTAATAAAACATCTACATTAGGTTATTCCTGGAGTTACTGACAATAGGGAGATGTGGGATATAGCAGCATGATAATATGAAACTTTCCTCTGGACTATTGAATATTGTGTATTTTTTATGCTACTCAGTCATTACTGGGCCTTGAGGTTATTGTATTCTGTTTCCACTGCTGACTGCCTGTAAATGAACACTAGCTATCAGTGCCTGGAGAAAAAGGGCAGAAGAAAGGTGGATATTACTCATCTTAGATGACTTGCTTTCAGGAGATCGATATTATTTTCTATTGTATTAGAAGTTCTATACCTGAGGGGTGATATACAGTATCAAGCAAGCGTCTTGGTGAGACAAGAGAATAGATTTGTCACAATGTCAGAATTTTGACTTTGACTTTAAAACCAAGTGTAATATTATAATACTCAATACCAAAATATTATGGCAAGAAATTATAAACAGTCCATCATCTGATCACCCAGTGTTTTTTGGATTAACCTCTTAAAATCCCAGGCTTATTGCATATTAAGGCTTATTGTTCAGTAACTACAGGGACTAGAATATATATAAAATATTCCAATTGTTGCAAGTATCTCCGATTTTCAAATTCATTCTGTTTTTAACACAAAACTCTTCAAATGTTCAATGAATAAAGTAAATAACTAAATAATTTAGACGTGGCCTCATTCAGCAGGTAAATAACATAAATAGCTTTATAGCATCAAAATGACAACTGAAAAGAATAAAATAGAATTCTAAATAGATAGGGTTCTTTGGGTGTTTATGGTTCTTTATAGAACCATTTTCTTTACTAAGGAACCCTTGAAGAACCATCATTTTTAAGAGTGTACTGTACCAGGTATTTGTACATTTACATATATCTGCCTGTTCAGCCTACAGCAGTTTAGTCCTGCCCATTTACATGAAAGTTTAAAGTTTCAGTCCTGACTGCCCTTTGAAAGCACAATACAGGACAGCCAGTCAGAACCGAGGTCATTTAACAGGCACAGTAACAAAAACAGCCTAGTTATAAAGAGTAGTTGGAAAACGGTCATGTAAAAATGAATTATGACTCTTCTTGTTACATAAACATTAGCAGTGGACAGGGGAAAAAATAAAATACAAGAAAAATGTATGTTATGGGCTCTTTAATCATTTTGGTTCATGAATGTTGAAGTCTCTCTCACCCAGTTCAGAATGGTTTAATGTTCTCTGTGCCACAGCTCGGCCTCTGCGAAGATCCTGTTCTGAGATCTGAAGGGACATTTGCAGAGCAGTGTGCGCTGACCAGTCTTTGGGGTTTCTTTGTCGTGCTGTATTGATTTGATTTAATAAGATATTCCACATACTCTCCTGTAAATGCCAAAGCTTAGACAGTCACAGAGGGTAGTAGCATTACACACACTCCCCCCCCAAGCAAAGGAATGTGGGTAATGTGTAACGGAGGCCATGGCCCCCAGCCAGGAAGGCCAGTATCTACAGGTCACTCAGCTCTCTCTCTCTCATTTTCTCTTACACTAAGTCTTTCTCTCTCTCTCTGACACACACACACATACACACTCTTTGAAGGACTCTCAATCCCCATTGTTTTAGCTCAGCCGGTGGAATTGCTGGGAAGAGTTAGGGGATGGGTGAGACATCCTTTTCACATTACATCCACTTGGTATTTGAGTTTCCACTTTCCTTTCAGTGTTAAGCTTATTGTACTCAGAGGTGGGCGATATCGCAAAAATATCACATTGCAGTTCTTCATCATATACAAACCTGCTACCAACTTAAACTATTTAAACTAACACATGACATTTTGTAATATTTCAAATTTATTTTAGTACAATGTATTGTCCTATTTTCATATAAATGTTCCACAATACCGTGCAAAAATCAGAGACCACCATTCATTTATTTCATTTTCAGTCAAAACAGCCGTTAAGTACAAGTTATTAAATTTCAAGCATCAGGGGAAAAAAGCAAAAAAACATTTTCAACCGAAAATTTAACAGAAGCATCAGTGACTAAGTATAATATCAGATGTTTAAGTATTTACAGTTTCTATTTTTTCAGAAAACTTGTTTTCAGTTTTTGAAAAAATCTGCAGGGATATTTTTCCATACCTCCAAAGTTCAGTCTTAGAAGTTGGTTGCTTTTTCTGCTTCTTACCATCCAAGTAATCCCAAACACATTCAGTGATGTTGATCTTTTGGCTGTTTTTTCACTATCACTTCTTTATGCTAGTGTATTATTTTATTTTTTTTCTAATCTGCTTAGAGGTATCTCCTGAAAAATGAAAAATTTGTACCTAATGGCCATTTTTTAATAATTAAACATATGGAGAGTGGTCTGTACACTGTATACCACTGTTCAAACATGTAGAATCACTTGTCATATTAATACTTCCTGTTACTTTATATACGGTATCAGTGTAGATCTTTTGTAAAATATAAATTAAACATCAAAAGGTATTTTCTAAGGATGTTCTATTCAATTATATTTTGGGAACAACAAAAAGACTGTCAAATAATATGCCGTAATTGTCTATATATAGTAATTTTTACTAGTTATCTGCCTAGAGATTTGATCATTTTTATTGAAGTACAATTTTTTTAGAATCATCTAGCTCTATTCTTCATTCAGGAAATGTTTAAATTTTTTTTATTTTTTTTCCTCTTCTACTAACTGTTTAAAACCTATGAATGTGAACTGTATTTTGTTTATTTTTTACAGCCAAATTGGTTTTATGTTTTTTTAAACATTTATTTCAAAATCTTGAATGTCATTTGAATGCCAGTAGTCCTGTCATTTTACAAATTAACAACGAAAGGAATCTGCACATATGCAATGGGACAGTGTGGGAGACCCCAGATAACCTGGGGGTCAGTATTTTGCAGAGTTTATGGGGTTTGTATGGTTTGGCTGTTCCTTCAGCTGCAAGGTTATTTTTAGGGCCTCTCCATGCTCTTTGGCTTTATAAAAAGCCCTGTCCTTCCACAAACCTCTTGAAAGCTGCTGTTTGTGGGGCATGGTTAGCTCTGTCCTTATCCACTGCAGATGTTGCCTACGTTTGACCCTGAAACTATGCTGCATTATGGTAAACATGCTTTCAGTAGACTTAGTGGGCTGCTGTGCTGTCGTACAGGTAATAAGAGACTCAAAAGCAAACCTGTGAAAGGACCACTGTGGAGAAACGTATGAAAAAGCCCTTAGGCAGTTGAAATTACTTTAGAACTGATACCTATACTCTACATCTTGAGTATGTAAAGTTATTATAAAAGCTATTCCTCACTGATGACACTAATTACTTTCATTTGTGTGGTTATGAAGCCCATTTAACTGACACTGCCAGCACTGGGAGGGCTCTTAGAGAATGTTTTACTTCTTCAATTTTGTTGTCCATTAGCGACCTTATGAAGTATGCCATAGCACTTTATTGTTACAGCAACTTTGTCCTTATATAATTCAGGAAAAAAGAGGCAAACATGTTCTTGAAATGATTATAAAGTGTGCCAGTAGTGGCTAACCCCAAAACTGAGTGGTTTACTCATGGAGCTGATTCAAAACCAGGCCTACAGACATCCAGAAAGCCACCATAAACAAAGTTTGTAATTTGTCATTGGCTGCAGGGTCAACAGCTTGCATATGGAAGCTCCCCTGCACACGACTCCAGAACCAGATGGGCCAGTGGTCAGCTTTGCCTTTGTTCTTTTGACCTGAAATGAGAGAAGGCTGTAAAACTGGTGCTGCATGCCCATTCCTCATTACTGCCACCATGGCTACAAAGCCTTGTCTAGGCATGTTACCTGACATCCCATGAACAGTTTATGGTGTTGCTTTCTGCAGATACACAGTTGGAACTATCAGCCTAAAAACCTGCAGGTGTTTGTTTTCTGTGTAACCTATTTACACAGCTACACATGCACACACGTGTGGCTATGAATTTAGCTCTTTGTAGGAACAAAATGTTCCCAGAATGGTGGAAATGTTTACACTGAGGGGGCATTTGGCTGATCTACAAAAGGTAAATTTTTTCCAAGAAAATAAAAAACAAACTTTAATTGGAAAAAGTAAGAGGTTATTTGTACAGTGGTGTTTACCTACCACTTAAATGAGGCACAATGCAGGGCAGACTATAGGAACAGAGCTCGCTTACACACGATAGTCTTAACAGCGCAGTAAAAACAGGTAAAGAAAGGCTGGGAAATGGTCATGTAAACATGAATTCTGACTGTTGGAGTACACAAATGTCTTAATCCCCTTCAGAAAAAAATGTAGGATATGAGCCCTTTAAAAATGTGTGCCCAATATGACTGCCTCATTGTAAGAGTCAGACTTAGGCTATTGATGGTGTACTGTATTTTGAGAAACTCTTTAGTGTGCTAGGCTGCGGTTTTGGACGCAGCCTTACAGTGTTGTGCTGTGTCTTCTTTTAGCTACTCAGTAAAAACACTTCGGAGTTGAGTGTGAGAAACCAGTTGGCTCTCAGTCTAAAAGGTGCTTATTGTTAAGAGGATCTGTGAGGATGTGAAGGTTAGCATGCTAGCCAGCTTTTGTGTGCGCGCGTGCGCCCGTGTCCGACGGTGGGTGTGTCTTACAGTATGAGTCTCCACCAGAGAGAGAGAGAAAGAGACAGAGAGGTGGCGGTGAGTTAGTGAAGTCCTGAAAATGAACCGGTAACGTAGTTTGAGACATTTGTAGGGCCTTAAAAGAGTCGTTTCATGTTTTGAATCCTTTACACAGACCGAAAATTGAGAGGAGAGGAGAGGAGAGGAGGGTTTTCCGGGCTTTTAAAGCCACGTTTCACGTTGTCGTTAAAATTAGCGTCAGTTAGTTAGTCGGGTGATCTTTGGCTCTACGGCGGTAGAACATTAACGTTATCTAGCACCGCGCTCCTCACTGGATTTCAGCTCCACCGTGGATCGAAACCCTCCTCTGAAGGACTTTTCTGTCGTTTTTTTTAATGTGGCACAGCTTGAAAATTGGAGTTTTCCCCCCTTCAAATGACGTGGACGAGCACCATGAGCAGTGGTTACAGTAGTCTGGAAGAAGATTCCGAGGAGTATTTTTTCACCGCTAGAACTTCCTTTTTCAAGAAACCTTCAGGGAAACTCACAGAGCAGAAGGTTTGCTAAACTATTTTCTCAGACTTTTTAAAGTTTGCTTACTTTATATCATTCTTTGGATTGGATTGTGTATCAGACTCAGCCCACGTTGTGCCCTTCAGGCGGTTTGCCAGGTTTACGTTACTGAAGCCAGAGTACACAGTGCTGTTAGCTGTCAGTGCTAGCAGGTAACTTACTGTACTTCGGGCTACTTCAGCATAAAACCTACCCTTTTTCTTCGATGGTGACATTGATGGTGATGTAAATACCGGTTAAAGTTAGTTACTTAGCTAACGTTAGCTCGTCACTCGAGGTGGTTCAAAACGTTTGCCTTTCTAACTCACCAGTGTGTAATTATTTCAGGCAGTGAACACAAACTGGTTGGTTACAGGAGGAGTTCCAGCTGAAGGTGACAGCCCCCTGCACAGATAGGGTCCACATAATATTCTCGATATCACTGAAGCACCTATCAGCAAAACTAACTTGTAAATTAATTAAATCCCTCCCATACTTTGCACGGACCTGTTGCAGATCTGTTGCACAGGGCCAAAGGCAGTAGGACACTTAGCTAATAGCCTGTGTCTGGCTGGTATTAATGTTGTTATTAAGATAATCTCACATGTGACACACTGTTGGAGCAGTGCTGCCTACAAACACATACATTTATAAAGTATAAGTTACTGTTGCCATTAAAGTCCATATCTAGAGTTATAAATTTCCTTATGGTCTTGGAGCTTGTCTGAGCACAAATTTGAAGAACTTTTTCAAATAAAATAAAATCATATAGCTAAAAAGTAACTTTCCTCTCTTTAATCATGCAATATGTCACATAGACCTACTGATTTTTAATGAAACAATAGAAAATCAGTGTTTGATGGTGAACAAAAGTGTGCAGAAATCACACATAAAAAATCAAGTGACTACTATTAGATGTTTATACAAGGTAACCTAAACAAAAAGACAGAACAAGTTATGTGGCATTTTTCCTTATCAGTCAGAGTTTAGTTGTTGGGCATGAATGCATTAATGAGTTCTTGGTAACATATGCACTTTTAATCTCATAAATACACGTCTGTCACAGCCTAATGCAGGCTGATTCAGCAGAGAATGTAACACTAAGAGGTGGAAAGGCATGATGTGTAAACAATTTAAAGTAATGAAGATGAAAATGCATGACCTGCATGAGGGAGTCATTCACCGGCCCGTGATCTTGTTAAGACTCGTTAGCCTTGTCTGCACATTTTGGATTTTGTGATAAAGTAGGTCGGTTTCTTCTCATCAATGCTGGTTTGTTCCAGAATGTGCATGATTTGCGTGGATCAAATACAGAAGTTTTTTTTTTTCCTCCCCTCCTCCCCTCTAACCCATTTTCTAGCTGGCTGACTTCAGCATTCCCTCCTCGAAGACAACTGTACTGCATTCATCAGGCGGATTTATGCTGCGCGCATGTCTCTATTGAGATTCTGTGGAGTGTCTGTCCTTCTGTAATTTGAATATGGCCTCCATACGGCGTTTTTCCACAGTTTGTGTGTGTGAAAGGAGAGCTGTGAGGATGTTGTAGGCCAGCAGGCATTCGCAATCTCACCCCCACACTTATCAGTCGCTCCTTTTGTGTGAGAAATGTCATGAAGTTAAAGTTCTCATGGAAAGCTCCTGCAATGGCAGAACTATATTACCATCTTTTTTTCTACAGATAGATTTGGCCATATTTTCTAATAGTTCAGTGTTAGAGTTGCACAATATAGTCAAAATACTACTAGTTTGAATATATTCCTGCATATTATGTTTAGGCCTGTCACGATCATTAATACAATTTTAGCTATTGATTAGTTGGCGTCTAAATAAATTCAGCTGATAATTGTAGTATCTTTTTGTTCATTGTATACAGCTATTAAAGTACAAGACTGAAGGGGCCAAATTGGCCTGATTAGCTCTTGTTTCCTAGTTGTCGATAATTAGTAGCGCTCAAATAGTGACAGATACAGCTCGAGCTCAAATAAACTAACGTTACCCACGGCTGAGCTCTAAACATGTTACAGCACTAGTCTGAAGTTAAAATGTTTGCTATTTTCTTAAGACTTGTAACAGTAATCGTCTCAGTAATTGCATTTTCTGCCTTCTTTTGTATTCATGAATTTCACTCGATTCAATAGATGACACCCAATTCAGTTTCTGCTTATTGCGAGGTAAACATATGATTGTGAAAGTCAACAACTGGAAAATAATTGTGATCAGCTAAAATTATTGCAATAAGCTCCAATAATTGAGAATGTAATGGTGACAGGCCTAATTGCGATATGCCTTGCAAAATATTGTAAAATGATGATGTTACGGCAAAAGGGAAACCCTTCTTAACTTTGAATCTAAGTTGATGTAAAACTGAATTAGTTTTTGTCCCTTTCTGCTGATCGACTGGCCATTAAATAGGCACACAATGTAAAAGTACAGCTGTCGTTCACAAGTCATGTAAAAAAAAACTAGTTAAAAAAAGAAAAGGGTTTGACGTAAGTGACGTTATTAAGCGTGCATTATTAAATCAGTGTTTTGACATGGTTACAGCATGGTTTGACATGGTTAAACTGTAAGTAGGGAAGATGCTCACTGCACCCAGTATAAAACAGTGTGATTTGATAGAGGACCCTTGTGCGTATTGCAGCCTTCTGCAATATTAGTATTGCAAAAGGCAGTATTGCTATAATCATTAACAAATGATATATTGTGCAGGCTTATTAAACCTATGGCAGTGTAGGCCATTGTGTTCTCTTGTGTCTTGTTTTGTATGGTCAGGACTGTGGACGGACATCTTTAAAAGCTCTTGGTCAGCTTCTTCAGTTCTATCAGCAGCAGGATTACCACAGCTCATTTCCTGTTGCTTCATTTTACCCTCAGGCTGCCCCTTAGTACCACTGTTTCATCACTGGTCAGACCACACGCGTTAGCCTAATATTTAAAAAAAAACATTTTTTTGGTCTTTTATGGAAAACCTGAAGATGTTTACTTCATCATTAGTGAAAATTCATTATTTAACTATGGGCAGGGCAGCTCTGTTCATTTCTCAGTTGTGTCATTCAAAAGTTAACCAAGACCCTCCTGTGGTCTGTAGATGTTTCAGATCTGTCACACCCATAACAGCCGTTTATTTTGCAGTAAAGCATTGCACAGTGAGAAGTAAAACTATGGCTTGTGTTCATTCAAGACTCTATCATGTTACAGGCAAATTTTTAGTCCTTAAAATTCACAAATGCATCCCGAAAATGACTGTCCATTTGACGTTAGCTCCATAACGCAGGTAAACTGCTACATATCTTTAATGTGTAAATGAATATGTTAGTTTTGAAGATTTGTCTGTATTTTTCCAAAAGGGTCCATAATAAGATACAGAATCTTACATAAGATTGTCCTCCATGACTTTTAGCCAACATAAGCCCAAATGTCATGTCTAAAATGCTGGAATTGGCCTTTACCTCAACACATAAATCTCCAGTAGGCTAGTGGTTTTTGTTTTTTTTTTCGTTGTTTGCCTTTTGTGGTTTTTGTTTCTCTCTGTCAGACGCAGCAGATATGTCCTGTGCTTAATCTGCTCTGTCACCTCAGTGGAATTGGTTTAAATAAAAGCTGCAGAAGTGATGACCCTGGGAAACAGCTGCAGAGGCAAGCATTCAAAACAGCGGGAGCATAAAGTGACAGCCCGCGCTCCCACATGCCCTGCCATAGGACTTCACTGTCTGTCTTGTGCCTGACTCATTTGTTTGATTATAGTGGAAAGCTGTCTGATTCATTATACTGCTTGTGATCGCCTATATTGCGGTTTTATTCAGGGAATCCGTACAGAAGCCAAGACGCAGATTCTTTTGTGTGAACATTGCTGTGCTGTATTTTTTTCCCTTTTTTTGCTAAAGCACTCCAAAATCAACAACAGCAGCCGCTTCCCATTAATGGCCTGCGAGAGCAGATGACGCAGAATCAGCACTGACAGTCTTCCTGCTATAGAAAGGAAAGATCGCCATTCTTTATCTTTACAGTCAGAGTCAGTTGTGTTATATAAAGTGTGGATAGAATGTGTACTTGCGTGACTTCCAGGAAGTTTTTGCTGTTGCTGGACAGAGTAGGACATAGAAGGCCATAGTTGTCATGACTTTGATATCATTACCAAATATAGTTTTGCAGTATTAGGTACCAAAACAGTACAAAAAATGTAAAACACTGTCATTGTCTAAACACACATTATTTATTAGATTGAATGCTGAAAAAAACTCAAATCCCTACAGCTTAATTAACATCTTCAGTGTTTGAGTGTAACCTCTTTATGTAAAACTCTTAAACATGGCCTTATTAAGCAAGATCTGCAGGGAAAACAAAGAAAATAGAGTAAAGCCTAACACTGACCACACTGTAGTTAAAACAAATACGGATTAAGTTATACCTTGTTGATCGTTTCTATTAGTCATGAAATTATATGTTACTGAACAGAACTCTTCACCTGCATGTTTTAGATCAGAGGTGTTAAACATGTGGCCTGCTTATGGTTTTAATCTGCCCAGCCAGATGAATCCATGTTTTAAAATAAAATCATCTTGTGGACCTAAATTGACCATTTGCTAATTGCTGATTAGCAGTCGTCTTTAAGCACTACTTTTTCTGAAAAGTGAATGAAAATCTCCTCGTAAAAAACCTGAAGCGAGAATTGCAATGGCCGTAAACTAGTCACAATTAATAAGAGACACTCCTGAAGGTAAAACAGTTTTGAATTTAAGTATTTTCAAAGCTATTAACAAGCATCTCTAAGAAAAGCTAAATGTAATTTGCGTTACTGTATTTGCTAAGACACATTTTTCCCAGTTCAGCTGCTTCTGCTCAGGCATTGCTGACAGATGAATAAAAACAAGACCCAACAGCTGGGAGAAACAAGAGATTATCCTTTGCTTGTCAACCTGTTTCCATTCTCTGTCCTCTGGCTGAGACTAAATTAAATCAGCAACTCTGCAGAGCCTGAAGATGGCTGGTATAAATGCTGTTGCTCT